TTTTTTTTTTTTTTTTTTGGTTTTTTGGTTTGTTTGTTAATGCTTCTTGGCTACGGAACACATGATCACTCGCACACCCCCTTATTATTTCTTTTCTTCCCTTTGTACATGCACAACACTTGCTTCTGAGAATCAATTCGCCGCCCGATCGCATAAGTGACGAGATTCTGTCTTGTTTCCTTTCGTATCGAGATAATTCAATGGAAGAGCGCTTTGTGTCGCCTTTTATCAGCTCGCAAGCGAATTTGCGAGAAGAAGGTGTGACTTTTAACATATTGGAAGCACTTGAATTCCACCCTCGAATGTATTTAGCTTACAATTTTTTTTCAAATAAATTTTCATTCAATTGCTGATTCTTCAAAGTTACTGTTGCAGTTTTCAAGAAAAGAATTCATCTTGCGAAATCTTTGCCAATTTTTCTAAGAATAATCATTATTTCCTTACGTTACGCATTTCGATATCATTAATGGAGTTTCCATTCAGTGAATGGATGTGACGTTTGACTAGAATCTCGTCATTCGTGCGGTAATTTCGCCATAACCATACCATCTGCCTCCCATTTTATTCGATATATCCGATCAATGAATACTTCTCTAAGATTCGACGCACAATGTTATTCTACGTGAAATTAATTAAATATCAATATCACATTGATCGAACACAAAATGTATCGTCTAACTAATCATTTGCTCGTTGAACTGAAAGAAGTACGTTCCTCAACGAGTACTGCTTTTAATTCCAATGTCGCCCATGTCCTGATCGACAATCAGTCATTTATTTTCATTCATATTTGCCATCAAAACCCGTCGAGAGTGACGTCGTGGTGATGTGAACAATTAGCGAAGCAACGTGAATAATTGCCCACCACTCGGCGTGACTTGGTTTCAACAGCTTTACGACCTGTCCAACTTGGGCGCGACGCGCAATTGAACAACTAGAAAAGAAGCTGAAGCTCTGCCGTTAATGGTATGGTTACTAGCGACTGAGATTCAGAACGTAGAGGCGGCGTGATCGATCCCCCTGGGAATTAAATTCGTTCGAAGCGGTCGCCAGCGAAAGCTCTTTCTCTCTTTCAGTATCATCCTCCTCCGTACGATCTGTTCCTGTTCCGACGTTGCACGTCGGGGGTGGAAGAGCCTCAAACGGACACCCGTCGCGGCAGTTGTTGTTCTGATAACGTACTGACGGCGGTCGACGGTCGTCAGATGCTGGCACGATGTTGATGCAACGGCGGCAATTGCAACAACGGCGTCAACGGAGGCGGGCGTAGCTCGCTGCTGCGCGCGTTCAACGTCGGCAGCTGCTGCATCGGCAGCAGGTGCGAGATCTTACCGGGCGAGCGGCGAACCGTGAACCGCGGTCTCCGTCGTTTCTTCTGGAATCCACTGCAGCAGCAGCTGCAGACCGACGTCTCGTCGTCCAGCGATATCGTGTCACCGTGGTTGCCTACTTGGCCCGACAGTATCGAGCCGTTCGCCGTTATTACGTCGCCCTCCAGGCGCACTGCTCCTTGCGCAGCCTGCGTCATAACAATTTTCTTTTTTCTCTCTTTCTCTCTCTCTCTCTCTCTCTCTCTCTCTCTCTTCGCGTTTCTGTCATCCGGAATCGTTATGCAGCGAACACGTTCGTCCGTTGCTTTAGAGGGTACATTACCGTCGGAACGTGTTCGCGCGAATTTCCACCGGGTCAGGAGCTTGATTTACGAGGAATGGGGAAGAGGTTCAGAGATCGTGGACCGAGGGTTTTGTTGGGAAAGCTTTTCTTGTATTGATTTGGCTGGGCGGCTAGGGGTTCGGGGTAACGCGAAAACCAACCCCTCACGGTCCGGCGTCACGTGTCACCGCTAGAACGCTGTGTATTGTTCGGTATAAGATTTTGATAAAATTCTATCGACAGTGAATTTTATGCTGTAATTGCGTGCTAACCGCTGCTTCCTGAAATGTCCAGGATCAAAATACGAGACAAGTCTGCCTCGTACTTTATCAGTTTGATAAATTCCAGTGACGCAGACCGTGAAGGGTCGTTGAAATTTCTTGATCACATACACGTAAAAAGAAGATACGTTTCAATTTCTACTTGCACGACTTCGTTAGAATTGAAAGTGTGCCTTTCAATTATGCATATAAATATAACATTGCATTCGTGAAAGAACCAAAGAATATACGTTTTTGTTAGTTTGTACCCTGCCCGGAGAAGTAACTGTGTAATTCAAAGAGAGAAAAGAAAGAATTACAAACCGATACAAGAAGATCGGTTTTTCGTTCTGAAATCATTGAACTGTGGAGGGAAGCTAATTTGTTTTTTTTTTTTT